ACCCCCTTATTACAAGTAAAGGAAATAATATCGGTTGTAATAAAACAGAAATATTTATTTCAAGTTTACCACGCACTTCTAAAATTTATAGATCATATATAATAACCTTATACAAAACATGTAAGACATTGTTAAGAATGGCTAAGTATGACATACAGCACCAAGAATACATTCGTTTTTGAAAGTCTGTATGTTTCATGGATTATTTTATACTTCTAAGCAATGTCAAAGCATTTTTTAAAAAAACACAATTTTGTAAATGGAACGGATCTCAAGATATCAATTTTTTTCTTCCGCCATACATTTTGTAATAGGGTCACGCATACATAGTCACGGCCATGTGGCAACTTTGCTATAATAAAATTTAATACATAAAAAACCAGTGTATCATTTTAACAGTAGTGAAATCTATTGACCTTAACACGTTAATTAATGAGCCGCGTCATGACAAAATCAACATAGTGCGTTTGCGACCAGCATGGATCCAGACCAGCCAGCGCATCCGCGCAGTCTGATCAGGATCCATGCTGTTCGCTTACAAACCCTATTCACGGTGATAGGGCGATTACCACAACTTTTCCGCGCAACGTCAAAATATCATCCTTCTGACCGATACACCGTATATTTCTGGACAAAATATTAATGGCGGGATAAACAAATTCCAGGTAATAGCTTACAAAATATCTTACTGCTGGACATTGCAATATTATTCCAATTGTTTAAGTATTCCATCGAATTTTTGAGACAATTTATTGTTAATCTAGCACAATACAATTCACAAAAAAACACATAGTCCGAAGAAATAGTGTTTACAAAAGATCGTATGTACCTCAACATGACTCGTACTTGTCACAAAAACATGTGTTATAACGACGATGTCTTTGTTCTATGACCTAACGAGCTCGTATATTTATTATGGTTAACCCTAAGTTCAAGTTCCATACAAAATTGTGTGTTTCTATCGTAAATTTCAGGGAATATATGTTGAAAAAAGGCCTACTGACCCGAATATTGGAGCACCGTACAACACTGAATTCAAACACCGCATTCTTTTTCCGTTAGACTATAAATACTGGCACCATCTTCTTTTGAATTATACAATCTTCTTACAAATATGTTTTATTTGATGAAAGATTGTTTACTTGCTGTTATGTTATGTTGCTGTTATCATACGTTATGTTATGGTCTGATCTGTGTTAGATAAGTGCAATGGTATCTATATATAGATAAGGATGTCTTTTCCTTTTCGAACTTATTCAAACTGATAAACCCCACATGGAAAGATTGAAGTTCTTGGCAGACTATACCATCTAACAACATCGAGAAACAAAAAGGAATGAAATATTTGTTAATGGGAATTTCTTATTACATACTAATTTGATAAAGTTGCAAAAGTCATAACACAAATTTTCATGGTGTAGTTTTTGCAGGAACCCGGGCAATATTTCCATAATCTCTTCAGTCATGGTCTCCAAGGTGCTTTTTAAACAATCTTTTTTGCGAAAGTTTGACTTCATATTCTTTTTTCTTATGTGGTGCGTTAAGCATATCGTCCTGAAATACAGGGAGGCGCTGATCCATTGGCGTACTGCTGATATCAGAAGACTTAGTTGGGCGCTCTCCAGTTGCTGCAGTATCTGCAGCTTTGCCAAGTTCACACGTCAGACATAGGTTTGAACGCCTTCTTTTTCTGAAAGCAAACATTACGATCAAAAATAACCGGTGCTAAAAACAGAAAAATGCGGTGATTTTAAGGAGGAATAATGCGGTGCCCTCATCTTATGATTGACAAAGTTGTGCGGTGCCTTAAAATACACGTGGAAACATAAAAATCATACCAAATATACAAAAATCGGGTTATTTATGTATTCTAACTTCTTCATACGACAATAATGTACATATTTATATTGTATTTTGACCAGTTATATGAACTGAACGGACTAGAAATACGTTATATTTCGTAATCAAAGCAAGATTTTTTTCAGTATGCCCTAAATGTTTTCACTATCCTGGCTTAATTAATGAAGCATTTTGCATGTAGTAAAGATAAATAAGTTTCAAATTAAATGGCACATTCGATGAAAAAGAAAAAAATGATGATTTTACCTTGTTTTGAGCAAATTATCTGCTGTTTTCGTCTCGGTTACAGGCTTGCTGTCCATTTTGTACCACAGAAATATACGGTGTCTTGGACAGAAGTAAGATATTTTGACGTTGCGCGGAAAAGTTGTGGTAATCGCCCTATCACCGTGCTATTACAAGTAGAGAAACTGATAGCGAACAGCATGGATCCTGATCAGACTGCGCGGAGGCGCAGGCTGGTCTGGATCCATGCTGGTCGCAAACCCATTATGTTGGTTTTGTCATGGCGCGGCTCATTTCATTTTTAAATATTTTGTTCGATCATCAGATGATACTACCATGCACGTATGTCGTTAAATTCAAGTTATACCTTCCAATTTACCACAAATACAATATATGCGATTTTTCTATGTATACGAGTAATTTCCCGCTCATGACTTTCTTTCAATATTTAGCTGGAGTAGGACGAATAGCGCAGGAAGTTGACAATATTTCAAAATCACACCACCACAAAAATGCTTACTGCAGTCAGTTCTCATAGATTGTCTCGGTGTGATGACATGAAAGCTATTTAGAGGTGTATACATGTACGCTCGACGCATCTTTTCCAGAACGCAAAAAAAAATGTCAATAAATCAAGTTCTCTGTCTTCGTTAAATAATCTCATTTTCTTCATCTTTGATGAAGTTTATTACGGTTTAATATCTTCATTGATCTTGGTCACATCACAGGACAATATGGTATTCAAGTATCAAACATACCTTTTGTATAAAAAACTGATATAAATTGTTTTATGTGCGATTGATTTAGCGCTTGAGAGTTATATTTCATACAGCACCTTTTTCCAGAATCATGAATTTGTAGAATGTGAAAATGACCCTTATTAAAGGCCCATTTAGCCACTGAAATGTTATCATTTTCATTTCTCAAAAACTTTTTCATTGTTTGTGTCTTGTTGCTCCGCTGGGTTCAGTGTTGTTATTACTGCTTCCGAGGAATCACCCCTTACTGCCAATCATAAAGAATCCCACCTGGTCAATCAGATGTGATCAAAAGACGAAAACGTAGTGTCCAACAAGTAAAGGGATAGCATGCTAAGCTTGCAGCATCATGTTTCAATTGAGTCATATCTCTTTTAATAGCATGTTTGATATTTTACCCCCCCCCCCCCCCCCAAAAAAAAAAATATATCATGACCCAAAATCTACGAAAAATTATTTAATCCAATGAAAAAGTTTATTGATATCTTGTCGCAAGAAGTTTTTTTGATTGCTGCATTTTTTTCAGTATTTGTTTTGGATTTGATTTGCCAAACCAAATGAGAGTAAATAAAATTGGAACTAATAAAAGATTTATAAAAGTTTCCTCTTTCTTAAAAGCACAATTATTTTACTGACAGTCTTTATTATATTTTTTTACAAATCTGTTTTGCTTTTTTTAGCAATATAATATGATATCAATTTGAAATTAATATAAATTTTGATTATGTTGTTCGGGTTATAATGTACATTATATTGGCAAAATTGTAAAGAACAACATGTGTGATGTGTGATATATATGTGATAAAATATATGATATGAAACATAACATAATGCTATGTACTATGTGAAGTACTCGTATTTGTTTAGAACATACTTTATAACAAGACTATTACATGTCAAACTAGAGTCGTCCGTCAGTTGTTAACCAACTACATTTCATGAAAATATGTGTAAATATGTCTGCCTGATTTTGTTATTAATCATAAGGGGGTTAATTATATAGAGGAAGACAATAACAACATCAGAAGCAACAGCAACAACATTTACAACAACATGATAAGTTGTGATATCATATAATACGATACGATATAGCACATAACATAGCATACATGTCATAATTCTGTCAAGAAATTTATATATAATATTATGGCCGGTAAACGACAAGAACAAAACGAGGGCCAATCGTATCAATTGATCAAACTGATGCAGTTACAATATATCTTAATATAATCATTGAATCAACATTGTTGTCAACAATACGATATTATGTTAAAGCATATATCTTATGATCTTTTCTGATGATGATAATAATAATAGTATAAGTTATTAAATAATAATGATGATGATGATGATGGTGATGATGATGATGATGATGATGATGATGATGATGATGATGATGATGATGATGATGATGATGATGAAATACATTAACATAAACTTATGGCTAATTGTGTATTAACAAGAACTTTGATTTTAATATTTAGGCACAGATCAATACGTGATTTCCGCTTTTCAGGTTTGTTAATAAATAGCTCTAAACATGTTTAAATCAATATCCTGGTCATAAAAATGATATGATAAAAATTCTAACGTTTTATTGCCTCTAATAATAATCAACACGTGGTCTCAACCCGGTACGGAATTAGACCCAGCCCATTGTAGTCTAGAAAGTAGTTCTTTAAAATTATGAAATGGCCCAATTTAAGTCATCTCTAGTTAGATTGTTCATAATTAAAGTGTATTTATTGCATGTGTGTAGTTTTTGTGTGTTATATGATGACTTTAAAAGTTGTTTTTTGTGTATTCTCCAGGAACTCATTTGTTGGTGGAAGGATTAAAGATGTACTACCCACCAGCTGTCAGGAGTTTTTAAAGTGGTGAATTTAAACAGTGTTACAACAGAATGAAGATTTCTGAAAAAAAGTAGATGGCTAACCTATTATATTTTGGGCATCATTTGACTTAGATAGTGTTAATGTTTAAAGTTGAAGACAGTATATAATTCATCAAGAACATTGGAATCCAGAATTAAACCTCAAATTTGACTGATTTACTATAGAACTAATAGTACGAAAATTCACCGGGCCGAGTCCACGTAGTTTATTAGCGTTCCGGATCTCGAATCCCGGGATTTTCCCAACCATCCATTAGTGTCCGGGATCTTACGGACTTTGTTCTGTATAAGCAAAACAAAGATGGCGCCTGAGGCATGCGTAAAAAATTAGAATTTTGTTTTGCATAGGTTAGTAATGGTTTAAATGTGTAATGAGCCACGAATATTGTTTAAAGTATTTGTTAATTAGTATATAAATTATACAGTATCTATTTGGGAGACGAAAATTGCATGCATAATCTGATAAATTGCAAATTATGAAATAAGGTGATCACTGATCACGTTTCACTCACAGACGCTTAAGGGTCAGACCATATCCGCCGGCTTGAACCGTCCCTGTTATCTGTTATGAAGATTAGTGTTTACAGAATTTGTGGAATCTGCAACCCCCCCCCCCCTGCATAATTTGTGAAGTATGCATCGAGGTATAATTTGTGCTATTTTGTGTATTGACAATATCTCCACTCTTCCAAGGTCTTTCATTATTTGAGACTGCGCATCAAAAATTGCAAGAAAGTTAAGAGTTGTTTAAAAGAGGATGAAAGAATATTTAAAAATGTTAAAAACAGGGGCTGGAAAACTAGGGTGAGACATGTTCAATGCAAGGGGCAGCACGAAATACCCAAATATACCCAAATATTGCCTAAATATACCCAAATATTGCCCAATAAAACTAAAAATAAATGTTTTATCCTAAAAAGGTGCTTTTTTATCATGAATACAATATACATTTTCACTAAGATATAATCAACCATACCCAAATATACATTTCCCTATCATTGCGTTTTGAACCAAAATACAGTCTATATGTACACATTTTCATAACATGGACACTTGTATATGATATGAAATTTCAATAAAATTACACCTTAAAAATGTAAGTGTAGACAACAAATATCATATCTTGATTTAAAATTGCAAGTACATAATAAAACTACATTCATAAAGAACCTATATAGTACTAAGATAAGCAAATGTCACAACTTTATTTTCTTACAACATCGTAACTGTCCATTTCAACGGAATGAATGAAAATTATAGCAGGCTAAGTCATATTATATTTAATAAATATTTATTTATTTCTCATTATAATCTATATTTTATACAAACAAAAATAAATATTGCTATATTTGGGTATATTTGGGTATTTCGTGCCGCCGAATGCAAGCTATGGCTGCACTGAACTACTTTTGGGTAGAGAGTAGGGCAACTGCAGGGGGTAGGTGGTTCCAGTGGTACACTGTTCTAGGAAACAATGAGAATTTATAATAGTCTAAGCATGCTGTGAATAGCCTATATAGATAACATTTTAAGGGATGGCCATGGCATGATGTTTGGGAGAGAGGTGTCAAATATTCTTCTATGGGGATAGCAACCAGACCATGGTTAATCTTATAGAGAAGGGATAACCTAGTATCTACACTTCCATATTCAAGCAGGGTTCTGATAACTCTCTGATTATGATTGCCTGCATCACCTGACACTCATTTTTTTAGGACATGGCAAAGTAAGGATAACATTTTAGATTGGCTCATTCACTGCTTTGATTTTCGTTTTATTGATTCAAGTTCATTTGTTCGTCAGTTTTCTTTTGAGAAATATTTATGTTTTACTTAAATGCAGGTTAAAGAAACAAAATGTCTAAAGACACCAGCACAACAGCAACGTCTATGGACACAACAGATATGACTGGTTTGTACATATGTATATTATTTGAAATATATATTTTAAAGCAAAACATCTTACAATGTAAATTGGTGAAGTTTGCCTTTTTCATCTTGAGCTTTTTATGAAGTTAAAAATAAGTATTAAAATGGCAAGGAGTGACAAAAGACTTTATCAAAGGACTACTTTTAATAATAAATATGGAAACATATAATTATATTAATTACCATTTCATATAACTAGATGTGGACAGTGATAAAGGTTGTCAGAAATATTCTAGTTATCGATAAACAGAATTATACAATATACTTGTGTGTATTGTAATGATTGAATTTTAGAAAAAACAGAAAACTTTGGTTCTTCAACACTGCACGAGAACTAGGACTTATAAAATCTATTTGAGTGACATACCAGTTCCAGATCAAAATACTCCAACTAACACTTTAATATTTGTTAGAAATTTGCAGGAATGGCAAAATCACTTGTCCCTATTGCCCAGGTTGTCACACAGCCTGTATGGACAAGTGGGAATGTTCAATAATTCACTATATAAATATATGGACAAATAAAGAAAAATCATTCAAAATCAAAAATTTGACAGCCCTGCAAAAGCAAGTGGTATACTTTTTCTTTTTAATTTTCCAAGCTTACAATTGATAGCAGATTCCTGCAGTTAATAACTTAATGCTTTTAAAAGTGAGGGGAAATTGTAAAAGAAAGACAGACTGTGTGAGTGGCAAACTGATATTTTCACATGAAGCCATCTAGTCTTCAAGACACCAGAATGATTGTTTGTTTCTTTTAGATGACAGCTCAGAAATGTTAGCCAGCAGTCATTTTGCTACTAAGCCTGATGGTAGCCTTATTGATCCCATAAATTCAGAGGGAGATTGTTTAGTTGGTGAATTATCAATGCCTGATGGAACATCTCATCTGGACCCTCCAGATTCTGTAACTCAGCCTGAAGCATCTCAGGATCCTGTTGATCCAGCAGTGACTGGAGATGACACTACTGTTCCGAGGTTTACTTTAGGTGGAGAAAGCGCAGGAATTGAAGCGGAGGTTATAGATGAACAAATGGTTGGTCCTAAAGCTGAGGAATCATTGACACCAGTGAAAGATCATTTTGATGTACCTAAAAGTTTGCCAGAATCAGGTAAGTTAATACCTTATCTTACACAGGGCTCTTGTTTGGTAAAATTTGGGGTAGAATATGGGCCCCATTTCACTATTAAAATAGTATGTTTTTTCCACTAAAACAAAAAAAAACCTCAAAATTAATATTTAAAGCCATAGATCAGGGATCACGTTTTTATACAAAGTATCAAAGGTGTATTCAATTTCATTGGAAATAACCAAAATATTATATGACAGCAGCGTATCTTTGATAAATTTGTAAACTGAATCTTGTTTTTGCTTGTTTTTGATAAATTAATTTTCTTCTGTTGAAATTCCCCCTTGAATGAAAAATATTGTCAAATTCCCCTCCTGCAAGGACCCTTGCCCCAGTCAAATTCTAACGAGAGCCCTGTTACATATGATTTAAATCATTGACGCTTTATAATAGAAATTTGTTTCTTGTTTTGTTGCTTCAGTGTCTATGGTGCTATATTTATTCTTTTGAGTACATTTCTAAGATGCCTGAGTTTGCTAATCTTATGAATATGACTATAGTTTAAATTAGCAAAATGTAGAAAATAGTTTCCAAGACCTTATTTTCACAATGAATTAACTTTCAGGCATTTTTATAGTTATTAAGTGTTAGCCAGTTCACAAATTAGTGGTTTTTGTGTTGCCTTGAAAAGGTGACATATAGGGGTTACTTTTGGCGTCGTTGTCGGCGTCCCCTAAAGCTTGTCCGGAGCATAACTCAGTCACTATAAGTCTGATTGACTTCAAACTTGGTATGCATGCTTCTTTCAATAACCCGAAGTGCAGTGCACAAGGAACGGTACTCTGCAGTTCTTATTTTTTGAGTTATTGCCCTTTGTTAATTTTCATACTTTAATTTTGTCCGGGCCATTTCTCTTCAACTAAAAAAGCTATGGACTTGCAACTTCATAGGATGATAGATCTCATTAAGAAGAAGTGCAGTGCACAAGAACCAGTACTCTGCACTTCCTAATTTTTGAGTTATTGCCCTTTGTTAATTTTCATACTTTATTTTTGTCCGGGCCATTTTTCCTAATGTATAAAAGCCATGGACTTGAAACTTGGTAGGTCTAGAAGTGCAGTGCACAAGAACTGGTACTCTGCATTTCTTATTTTTTGAGTTATTGCCCTTTGTTTATTTTCATACTTAATTTTTGTCCAGGCCATTTCTCCGAAAGTATAAAAGTTATGGACTTGAAACTTCATAGGATGATAGATCTCATTAAGAAGAAGTGCAGTGCATAAGAACTGATACTCTGCATTTCTTATTTTTGAGTTATGGCCCTTTGTTAATTTTCATATTTAATTTTTGTCCAGGCCATTTCTCCGAAAGTATAAAAGTTATGGACTTGAAACTTCATAGGATGATATATCTCATTAAGAAGAAGTGCAGTGCATAAGAACTGATACTCTGCATTTCTTATTTTTGAGTTATTGCCCTTGGTGATTTTCTTACTTTATTTTTGTCCTGGTCATTTCTCCTCAAGTATGAAAGCTATGGACTTGAAACATGATAGAATGATAGATCTTATTGATAAGAAGTGCAGTGTACAGAAACTGCTTTGTTATTTTTCATATTTCATTTTTGTTCTGGCCATTTCTCCTAAACTACATTGTTCACAAGGCGACACATCCGACTCGCGGAGTTCTAGTTCTCACTTCCCCTTGATTATGGGGGAAAATATTGCTAAAATTGCTTATTTGTGAAGTATAAAGCATGTGTTCATTTTTTAGGAAAATTTGCATGATTGTAAAAAAAATTTCCTTTGGGAAACCGGTAAAAGGACCTTTTATAGGCCTCTGTGATATTTTGTGAAAAAACCTGGCATCCAGACTTAAATGTGTGAAGTATATTATACAAAATCATATTTCATGTTAATTATTGATATACATGTATATGTTACAGGTATGGTAACACCTGCCAGTCAAAGTGACCAATCATTAACATGCTCCAGCTCAGAGAAGGGTACACCTAACACAAGATTTAAGCTTGGTGATCTCCGGCATTTAGACTACGACAGTATGTCATCATCATCGGGCTCTGTTAAAAACCTTCAGCTGCCACAACGGTTAGGCATCAGCTGGAGGAAAGGTGAAAGGTTAGAGGCCATGGATTACCTCAATTCTTGGTATGTGTGATTTATTTGTGAAAATAAATCCAGGTGGGGCTCAGTGGTGCAAACACAGACTTTCATCATTTATGAAATGAAGTACCTCATTTTATATTGTCTCACCTCAGTTAACAGTATAATTACTGACAGTTTGTTGCCTTAACATCCGTTTATTCTCCATGTTTTTTTCTTTGAGCCAATTTTTCGCGGCGAAAATTGCCTGCCTGTATTTTATTTTTAAATCAGGCACTGGTACAACAAGAGATATTTAGAAAAACTTAAACTATATCCAATTAGGTCAGATTTTTTTTGACAATAACCCCCCCCCCCCCCCCAAAAAAAAAAAAAAAAAAAAAAAAAATCCAACTCATAATAATTCCTTTGATCTGTTTATCAACAACAATAAAATTAATTGGTCAAGTTGCCAACTGCAGAACATAAAATTTTGTCGTTATTTCATACCCACACGGCTGATTTGATTAGCTATAATCTTGAGATGCCACTAGTTATTGTTTCATATTGAATATCAAGACCAATTATCCATTGCATATTCATCAATCTGCCAGGTATTTTCACACCAATTAGTGTCATATTTATCAGTTGATAAACATGTAAACATACTGTGAGGTCAGTGTATTAGACTGTGTTACTGTTCATATCAATATTTCATTCAGAAAGGAAGTTACAAATATAATCAAGTCAATGACCCACAAAAAAGTAGACTGTGTCGCTGAGTTTTGTGATAAAAAGTGATAAAACGGAAGTTGTAGATGGAAAACCAAATGTGTACTTTTTAGCTCACCTGTCACAAAGTGACAGGGTGAGCTTTTGTGATCGCTTTTCGTCCGTCGTCCGTCCGTCCGTCGTCCGTCCGTCCGTAAACTTTTACTTTAAATGACATCTTCTCATAAACCACTAAGCCAATTTCATCCAAACTTCACAGGAATGTTCCTTTGGTGGTCACCTTTAAAAATTGTTCAAAGAATTTAATTCCATGGCAACGGAAAGAAAAAACTTTAAATATCTTCTTTAAAAAAACCATAAGAGCTAGAGCTAAGATATTTGGCATGAAACATCTTCTAGTGAGTGGCTACCAAGTTTGTTCAAATAAAAGCCCTGGGGTCAAAATTGGCCCCGCCCCGGGGGGTCATTGATTTTCCCTATATGCATATAGTAAAAACCTAAAAAAATCTTCTTCTAAAAAACCCAAAGAGCTAGAGCTTAGATATTTGGCATGAAACATGTTCTAACGGATTTCTATCAAGTTTGTTCAAATAAAAGCCCTGGGGTCAAAATTGGCCCCGCCCCAGGGGGTCATTGATTTTCCCTATATGCATATAGTAAAAACTTAAAAAAAATTCTTTAAAAGAACCCAAAGAGCTAGAGCTAAGATATTTAGCATGAAACATCTTCTAATGGGTGTCTACCAAGATTGTTCAAATAAAAGCCCTGGGGTCAAAATTGGCCCCGCCCCAGGGGGTCATTGATTTTCCTATATGCATATAGTAAAAACTTAAAAAATCTTCTTTTAAAGAACCAAAAGAGTTAGAGCTAAGATATTTAGCATGAAACATGTTCTAATAAGTATCTACCAAGTTTGTTCAAATAAAAGCCCTGGGGTCAAAATTGGCCCCGCCCCGGGGGGGTCATTGATTTTCCCTATATGCATATAATAAAAACTTAAAAAACCTTCTTTTAAAGAACCCAAAGAGCTATGGCTAAGATATTTAGCATCAAACATGTTCTAATAGGTGTCTACCAAGTTTGTTCAAATAAAAGCCCTGGGGTCAAAATTGGCACCGCCCCGGGGGTCATTGATTTTCCTTATATGTGTATAGCAAAAACTTAAAAAATCTTCTTTGAAAAAACCCAATTAGCTAGAGTTAAGATATTAAGCATGAAACATCATTATGCCCCCATTTCGAAGAAAAGGGGGTATATTGCTTTGCACTTGTTGGTCCGTCGGTCCGTAGACCAAATGGTTTCCGAGTGATAACTAAAGAACCCTTAGGCCTAGGAACTTCTAACTTGGTATGGTGATTGGTCATGACCAGTAGATGACCCCTATTGATTTAGGGGTCAAAGGTCAAGGTCACATTGACCTTGTAAGCAAAAACGGTTTCCGATCAATAACTAAAGAACCTTAAGGCCTAGGAACTTCAAACTTGGTATGGTGATTGGTCATGATCAGTAGATGACCCCTATTGATTTTGGGGTCAAGGGGTCAAAGGTCAAGGTCATATTGACCTTGTAAGCAAAAACGGTTTCCGATCAATAACTAAAGAACCTTAAGGCCTAGGAACTTCAAACTTGGTATGGTGATTGGTCATGATCAGTAGATGACCCCTATTGATTTTGGGGTCAAGGGTCAAAGGTCAAGGTCACATTGACCTTGTAAGCAAAAAACGGTTTCCGATCAATAACTAAAGAACCTTAAGGCTAGGAACTTCAAACTTGGTATGGTGATTGGTCATGATCAGTAGATGACCCCTATTGATTTTGGGGTCAAGGGGTCAAAGGTCAAGGTCACATTGACCTTGTAAGCAAAAACGGTTTCCGATCAATAACTAAAGAACCTTAACGCCTAGGAACTTCACACTTGGTATGGTGATTGGTCATGATCAGCAGATGACCCCTATTGATTTTGGGGTCAAGGGGTCAAAGGTCAAGGTCACATTGACCTTGTAAGCAAAAACGGTTTCCGATCAATAACTAAAGAACCTTAAGGCCTAGGAACTTCAAACTTGGTATGGTGATTGGTCATGATCAGTAGATGACCCCTATTGATTTTGGGGTCAAGGGGTCAAAGGTCAAGGTCACATTGACCTTGTAAGCAAAAACGGTTTCCGATCAATAACTAAAGAACCTTAACGCCTAGGAACTTCACACTTGGTATGGTGATTGGTCATGATCAGCAGATGACCCCTATTGATTTTGGGGTCAAGGGGTCAAAGGTCAAGGTCACATTGACCTTGTAAGCAAAAACGGTTTCCGATCAATAACTAAAGAACCTTAACGAGCCTAGGACCTTCACACTTGGTATGGTGATTGGTCATGATCAGCAGATGACCCCTATTGATTTTGGGGTCAAGGGGTCAAAGGTCAAGGTCACATTGACCTTGTAAGCAAAAACGGTTTCCGATCAATAACTAAAGAACCTTAACGCCTAGGAACTTCACACTTGGTATGGTGATTGGTCATGATCAGCAGATGACACCTATTGATTTTGGGGTCAAGGGGTCAAAGGTCAAGGTCACATTGACCTCTTGGGTAAAAACGGTTTCTGATCAATAACAAAAGAACCCTTAGGCCTAGGAACTTCAAACTTAGTATGGTGATTGGTTATGACCAGCAGATGACCCCTATTGATTTTGGGGTTAAGGGGTCAAAGGTCAAGGTCACATTGACCTTGTAGGTAAAAACGGTTTCCGATCAATAACTAAAGAACCCTTAGACCTAGGAACTTCAAACTTGGTATGGTGATTGGTCATGACCAGCAGATGACCTATTGATTTTGGGGTCAAGGGGTCAAAGGTCAAGGTCACATTGACCTTGTAGGTAAAAACGGTTTCTGATCAATAACAAAAGAACCCTTAGGCCTAGGAACTTCAAACTTGGTATGGTGATTGGTTATATCCAGCAGATGACCTCTATTGATTTTGGGGTTAAGGGGTCAAAGGTCAAGGTCACATTGACCTTGTAGGTAAAAACGGTTTCCGATTAATAACGAAAGAACCCTTAGGCCTAGGGACTTCAAACTTGATATGGTGATTGGTCATGATCAGTAGATGACCCCTATTGATTTTGGAGTCAAGGGGTCAAAGGTCAAGGTCACATTGACTTCTTAGGTAAAAACGGTTTCCGATCAATAACTAAAGAACCCTTAGGCCTAGGAACTTCAAACTTGGTATGGTGATTGGTCATGACCAGCAGATGACCCCTATAGATATGATATTGGGGTTAAGGGGTCAAAGGGCAAGGTCACATTGACCTTGTAGGTAAAAATGCTTTCCAATCAATAACTTAAGAACCCTTAGGCCTAGGAACTTCAAACTTGGTATGGTGATTGGTCATGACCAGCAGATGACCTATTGATTTTGGGGTCAAGGGGTCAAAGGTCAAGGTCACATTGACCTTGTAGGTAAAAACGGTTTCCGATCAATTAACTAAAAACGCTTAGCCTAGGAACTTCAAACTTTGTATGATGATTGGTTGTGACCAGCAGATGACCCCTATTGTGTTTTGGGTCAAGGGGACAAAGGTTAAGGTCATGACCTGTAGATACTTGATAACCCTTATTAATTGTTTGATCACTGGGTCAGAAGTCATGCATAATAAACTTATCACATGACTAATTGGCTGCTGATAGGGGGCATACATGTTTTACAAACATATCTTGTTTAGTTAGTGTCTACCAAGTTTGTTCAAATAAAAGACCTGGGATCAAAATTGGCCCGCCCCGGGGGTCATTGATTTTCTTTATATGTGTATAGCAAAAACTTAAAATCTTCTTTGAAAAAACCCAAATAGCTAGAGTTTAGATATTAAGCATGAAACATCTTCTAGTAAGTGTCTACAAAGTTTGTTCAAATAAAAGCCCTGGGGTCAAAACTGGCCCGGCCCCAGGGGTGTCATTGTTTTTAACTATATGTGTATAGTAAAAACTTTAAAAAAATCTTCTTTTAAAAAGCCCAATGAGCTAGAGCTTAGATGTTTAGCATGAAACATCTTCTTATGGGAATCTACCAAGTTTGTGAAAATAAAAGCCCTTGGGTTAAATTGGCCCTGCAACGTTGGGGGGGGGGGGGGTTGGGGGGGCCTATATACCGGTGAGCGACCTCAGGGCCATCATGGCCCTCTTGTTCATTCTTATCATAGAAAATGCTAAATTAAGACTGGAGATTCCAAAAGCCATACTTTTTCGTAACTTTGAGCCAGTCATGATTTTCTTGAGCCAATTTAATCATTTTGGAGCCAATTTGCTCATTGGCTCCTGCCATTAGAGATCAGGGAACCCCATGGCTAAACCTCATGAAATGCATGTATAAAGCCACTACTCTCTTATTCTCTTACTTACACACAACTTTATCGAATTATACATGTATATTAGTAATTTTCATGGGTTTTAGTTTAAGTTTTACATTCTTTGTTCTTAAACAGCTACTGAACTTTTTTTGTAAAAATTATGTGATTTATAAGTTGTTGTTTGGGTCTGAAATAATGCATATAAATGCACTATGCTTAATAACACTTAAAGCCTAATAGGAAATAAAGATTCTTTAAGGGTGAGACAAAAGTACAACTGTCTGATTTTCCTTGTCTAGGTTTCCTGCAAAGATTCGTTCAATTAATGAAGATGATATGAAGGTGTTAATACATTTTGATGGCTGGAATCAGAGATATGATGAATGGATTGACATGTCCTCAGATCGTATCAGACCCCTGGTGAGACACTCGGAACGCAAAGAGAGAAGTAAACGAGCTAGATCAACATCTGGTTCAGGCCGCGGCTCTGCCAAAAATGTTAGCAAAAAACCTCTCAAGGTAAATAGAATCGTATTTGTAAATGTATATTTGCACATAATGTTTTAAGAGTGAAGATATAGTGATATTAAATTAGAAATCAGTACATTAATTGACATCTGCTGTCATATTAAAGTTATTTGATTAGTTCTGATTAAATAGGTCTCTACCTTTAAATTTTATTCTACTTGTATGTGATTTTGATAACTTAGAAATACTCTTATGCATAGATCCCTGAGTGACCTGTCCAATTCTAATAATCAGATTAGTGGATACAATAAGAATTTCACCACAACATATTTGTTAACAAAATTATAGAGCAAATGTTAGTGTTTGTGGTTAAATCTATTGTTATTCAAATAAAAAGACAGAGTAAGGGATCTGTCAATTGAAGATGTGAACAGAAAATTAACTATTTTGTGAACAGGTAAAATTAACTGTCTTGGTCTTTGTACATAATATTATTAACAATTAAAGTTTGAATTAAGAATGTCTCAATGTATAAGATAATATCTAACTGATATATGAATTATGAACTAGGAGCACAAGATAGGGGATGCAGTATATGCCAAGTGGACAGATTGTAAGATGTACCCTGCCAAGATAACTAATATAATGCCAAATGGTAAGTTTATAAAGTAATTTAGTCTATGTATATACCATATGTATATATCCATCAACCTAACTTAAGGGAGTTTAATTGCAATCCAAATAATCTTAGTATGGTACAATTATCTGTTTTGAAAACAAAGTTTGAGGTAGAAAAATATTTGCATCATTGACAACATGCAAAACATGTTAACTTTTTTGAAAAAAAAAAACCCCAACCCAAAACAGCAACAACATAACAACTATTTAAACAGTATGGTGTCTTAATTGTAAGATTTTAATACCAAGTCTGTTACATCTTTATTGTAAAATGTTTCATATTTAATTAGGAACTGTAAAGGGCTTTTTTTGTTCTTTATGGAAAAAATGCTATATTGGAATAAATTGAAAACATAAAACAATGCATTTCACTTTATGGTGATCATCTTATTTAATCATTAAGTAATAACTTATAGTGTCTAAAAAAATTAATGTAACATGACATTGTCTTTAACGTTTGTTATAATTCATTGAAAAGTAGTATTGAAAATGTATTGTTTATGTATTTTGATCAATGTATTATCACATTATGTATGATAATCTACTACGTACAAATCAAAAATAAAATTATGTTCTGTTCATTATTTAAATGTTTATTTCAGGAGCATATGAGGTTATATTTTATGATGGTTTCAAAAAACTTGTACAGCCTATCAATGTGAGATCTATGCCAAAAGAATATAGACAAAAGGTAAATGTCTTTTTTTAAAGAATATTTCTTACTGTCAAGATATATTTCTGGCATGGTATTTTTTATTGATTTGCATGAACAAGTCTGCTATTCTGATTGTAATTGGTATATCAACATCTTTATCTTCACAATTATCATACTTTTATGTAATATCTGAAAAAAATTGATTGCTATACAAGGGAAATAGATTGTGTTCTGTAAATGTACTATTGAAATACTCCAAGTACACACTGGGTTAAGTACAATAAATGAAGAGCAACAACTTTATAGGATTATGCCTCGAGATAAATTAAACCTTTTCCTGAGTTCTGTCTCAAATATCAGAATTTTCATTGGTCAATTTTCATTCTGTACTGGGGTCTGACCAATCAAAGATCTGAGTTTGAACTCTAGAAAAAAAACCTTATAACCCTGGATTCATGTTAAACTTAAACAGATTATACAGGTTATATAAATCTACTAGTTTTCAGAGTAAATATCAACAATCAATATAAGTGAATAAGAATTGTATATGAAATCCCTACTAAAGAAACAGTTTCATTTAACAGATTTATAGTTGCCACCTGTCAAAGAACAGATTGAGTATAGCTTGCCGTTGTGTACCATTTTCATATTTATCAAGTAAAATGTTGTCTTATTTTCAGTCGTTTGAGATCGATCCTGTTCCAGAGGCTGTATGTAAAAAGGCTAAACTGAAGCTGGACTGTACAGACCATTCATGTAAATATAAAATTATTGATATAAAATTCATTTACATGTACTGCATAATGATTATAATTTGTGGGGCACTAGTAGCGGCTCGGGTTATATTTACAAAGAACCGTTTATATAGGGACATATAATCAATATGACAACTATTTAAACTTTATAGAATGTTATGTGTTTATATTGTTGTAGTAAGCCAACCAGATATTCAAGATGTCAGGTCAGGTGAGAAGGTAAAGTTAGAAGCAGGTGGGGGGAGAGAATCCTCTACAGACAGTGAGAAGAAACAGCCTAGAACAAAGAAGAGACGGCTGATTGTACCAGGACTGTTCAGTGATGCAGCAGTGACAGGCCTGGGAGAATCTGTCACACCTGATGTACAGATCAAGTCAGAACCTGTATCTACACAGACTGACTATGGTGAAGGTAGTAAGGTAAGTTCAGATCCATTTTACATGAGGGTCTTATCTATTGTGATAGTCTGATCCATTGTTAGAGTTTGATCTGTTGTGAGAGTGTTGAGAGAAACATATTTTTGTCTTTAAATGAAACTACTACATCTCTAAACAACATGTCTTATTCGTTGTTAGTGTGGGGGTCTGAACCATTGTGATGATCTGAACTATTGTGAGGGTCTGAACTATTGTAAGGGTCTTAACCATTGTGAGGGTCTGAACTATTGTGAGGGTCTGAACAATTGTAAGGGTCTTAACCATTGTGAGGGTCTGAACAGTAATGAGGGTCTGATCTGTTGTGAGAGTATTAAGAGAAACATATTTTTGACTTTCAATGTAATGTTATTACAAATAAAAATACAAATGAACATTTGTTATCGAATATTAAAACATGTGATATAAGGAATGTCCATTGGAATTTATTGTGTTCATTACATTTTCAAATAAAATTGCTTCACATGTTTATGCAATGTTTCCATACTTATACTAAATGTTTGTAAGTCTTACTGTTAAGTATAACTGCTTTCTTTAAATAAAAAAGATAACATTCCATTCATTTTGAAGTGTTTAAACATTTGTCCTTAGTTTTTAATATACTATTGTGGAATGATAATGAATGGTTTGGATTGTTAATTTGTTGTAGATTGACAATATAGGAGTGCCAGGAACAAGTGCTGGTCAATTGATGGCCCAACCCCAGGTGCCAACTCCAGGTAAAGGCCTTAATTATTTTTTTAGATCTCAAAGAAAGTAGTAAGAATAATTTTTAGTCACATACCACGCGAGATGAGTTATCTTATTAAATAATAATAATCATATTTTATATATTGTGATATGTCAGTGCTAAGTGTCAGTATTAGAGACCAACTGTATAGCATGTGTATGAAAAATAGTTATTACTTTAAAATGGTTTGCAGAATTATTTGTTGATATGAATGCAGTAATGTATTTTGAGTTTTGATTAAAATTTATTAGTTTGAGTTAAGGGTTGAGGTGGCCTAGTGCAGGGCATTCCAAAATTGGGAAGTCACAATGATTTAATAAAGATGGAAAAGCATTACATTTTGGAGGTCACAAGCAAAAATCAAGGAGTTAATGACTTTCTAACTGCCACTAACAGAAGCCCTGCTAGTGGTTACGTGCCTGCCTCTAAGTGACGGGGCGTATATATATTTTAATCTTTTTGGGGTAACTTCAGTGATACTTCATATAATGTCACCAGTAACTGTTATGTACCAGGTGTAACTTCTCTGTGAAATTGATCAGGGACATTGGGTATAATGGTTATTTGTCTCTCACTGCTAATTCAGAAATCATGTTGAATAAGCAGTCAATCATTTGCGGAAAAATTGGTTATTATTGATAAGTCATCAAGGGAAGCCCTTTAGGTGGATGGTTCGCAAAGATATGACCAAAAACATGTATGAAAACTGGTGTAGAAATAGAAAAACAAGCAAACAGGCAGACTTGATAGTGGTTGAAATATTTTACTAACTTAATATATTTATACATCATCTCTAACCAGGCCCCAAGGTTATAACATCTCTTCCTGAGATCAAGCTCAGATCTCATGATTTTCATTGGTCAATTCTCACTCTGTGCCTATTTCTGACCAATCAAATACATGAGATCTGAGTTGAGATTAGAATATTTCTTTATAATATTGGCCCCTGTAATAGTAATGAGCATTGTAACATTGCATTTGGGGCTATATGCACTTTGGGGGTCCTCACAGGCTAGCTTAAATAAATGTTTCAACTGCTACTATTTAATTGCAGTTGCACCTATTGGAGTGCTCCCACCGAAAGCATTTGTGGTGGAATCGGATCACAATCAGTACAAGTGTCAGTACCAAGGCTGTAATAAAAGCTTCAGGAAGGAACATCTACTAGATTATCATATAAAATACTATCATATAAACGGTGATGCCCCTCAACCAACACCTGCCAAAAGGAGAAGAAAAACAACTAGCACATGTAAGTTGTGGAATTTTTTTGCTGTTGTTTACATTACCATACATTATTCCTTTTAATTAATACAGTCTAACTTGCTCATGCGACCATGTGTATTAAGCGACTTTTATCTTATGCGACCGTTTTGTGTGTTTCTCTTGCGCGGTTGCTTAATACAAGTTTGACTGTAAAAGCACACATCCATGTTTAACTTAGTGGACAGGTAAACTGCTTGTTTAAATCAGCAAATTTATCCTGAATTCATCTGCACTGCAGAGAATTTTGCAAATATTTTCCAAAAATAAAATCACAGGTAATTTAACTAATTTTGAAAATGATGTAAAGTTTGCATCAATACAAGCAACTTATGGATATTGCTGTTCATAGAACTGTTGATTTTAATAACAACACAATCAATAGATGTTATCAGGAACTCAGAAAACGTGGGATTATAAGACTCTTACACCGGCTGCCGGTACAGACCGGAATATCTAGCTCGAGGGTAAGTGTTAACGGTGGTAAAGAGGCTCTGCGAGTTTCCGCTACAAAGTTACCCAAGAGCTAGATATTCCCGTCTGCACCGACAGCCAGTGTTAGATTCTTTTTCTTGCATTTTACATATCAATTATATTCAGAACAGAAATTACGAAAACTAATATTTTCATTGCATACTTTTTTCTTATAGTAGCGTATGAACAACTTCATTCATAATCGTTAAGTGACGTTATTCTAAGAACGCAATTCATTCATAAAAGGCGCACGACAATGCGTCATTTAAAGCTCGCGACTTGTCTTACATGGGGGGTGTAAGACAGAGTTTTCTAGCACCAGTGTAAACGGTAGATAATCCTGTCTGATATGCAAGAATATCCAATCTTATCTCCCGGTACAAAGAAACTTACTGTTAAAGCTTCATGGTACCCTACCGGTCACAAAAGATTAGTAACCTTGTTTGTGCTTATTTTCGAATCTGTTAATGTAAAAGTTTGTTTGTACCCCCTGGTTAGCTGGGAAAAACTCAAAATATTATTAATTCTGGAGTAAGTCTATTGTTATAAGAATATGTAAATTGTTCCTTATTTTGCTTATTTCACTTAAAGAGTAGTCTGTTCTTTGACTGGTTCAGGTTCGACAGAGTCTGAGAGTATTGTTGGAGGTAAGAAATTGGCTGCAAAGAAGAACCGTAACTTTTCAGCCGAGGGTGCCATGTTCATGCCAGATTTGAAGCAAGAATTTCCTGAGGTACCATGAAAAATTGAAGGTTATGAAAATTTCTAATACTTAATCAGTACTTATTTTTGCTTAGTAAAATTAACTTTGTTTTATTTGAAAGTTTGTTTGTATTTTTCCATTTGCCTTACACATAAAATTGAAAAGATTTTTTGGGGGGGGTTCATTGGGCTGAGTGGTTATGGTCATGTAACTTAACACCCCATTTCCCTTTTACCAATGTGGGGTTCGATTTCTCTACAGGGACTTTGATTTGTTCATGTGAGGAAAGCTATCAAGCTAGGATTATCCTACCTTGGGTTCCCATTCCTTGCCTGGCCCCTTCTTGAGGTCTTCCCACCGTAAAGCTGGAAATTTACCGTAATAACGACCTATCTTGTTTGTTGGTGCAACGTTAAACCTAACTAAAGAAAAAGAAAAGGTTTTTTTTGTTGCATTCTCATTTTCTTTACAACAAATTGTAGGAATTGGGGTCATTTGCTTATGTCCCCTGTTTAATTTTAAAACATTTATGCTTTCTATCCAGCTTCTTCTGCCAGTTTAGCTGGAAAGTCGCCATATGACCTTTACAGTGTCTGTGAGACATAAAAACAAACAAATCATGCTTACATAGCCAACGTCTATACTTTGGTGTTCATCATGTCTTTTATAATACATGAAATATCTTTTTATGTTTGAAACAATTGAAAAATTAGAAAATACCTTTTGGTGACATTAACCTAACAAGTTATGTAGATTTATTAACTACATTAATGAAATGTAAAATTGTAAAATAATGTAAAATTCCTATGTAAATGTATTTAATGATATAAAATTCTTTTTATCGTTTCTGGATTTTCGAGAAATTATTCAATATATGTGGTTGTATATTTATATTATAGAAACAGGTGAGATATCTACTCAAACATCACATAGTAAACACACAGAGTCCTACGCCAGCGATGATTTTGTACAGGTATATGGCATGAAACAAGACAGCCTGGAGGAGTCTAGCGTGACCGATGCAGAAGAATTCCTGAAACCAGATGAGCTTGTAAATTGTATATGTGACTTCCAGGAGGAGAATGGTCTCATGATACAGGTATATACTTGTACCGTCCTCAGGGTTTACATACACCTTAAATTATCATGGGAAATTATGAAATTGCAATTTCAAAAAATTTGAAATTGACAATAGCTTTTTAAAATTTATAATAGAATTTTAAAGATTTGTCTTAAAAGTTTCCAAAAGTGCTAATTTACTTTGAGAATTTTTTGTGAATGTCAGAGGCAATTAATTCATTTTTGATGGCTAAAAGTGTATTTTCTGTCACTACAAATAATTTTTAGGAAGATATAAAATGTTTGATTTTGATTTTTTTTTTCTTTCTCTGTAAATAAATTGATATTTTTTCACTATATAATTATAGAAAAATACAATTTCCATTCAACTTCTTTAAAGCTTCATGCCTTTAGATGAGCCAAAATATTTTTAAGAAAATTAAACTTGAGGAAAATGTACTAAAATTTAAGAAAATGGAAAAGATTTAAAATTCAAGTAATAACTTACATGTTATGTGCGATTAAGGACTGGTTTTGCAGTATTTTTTATCACTATATATCTAGTTCATTACTTATGCAATAAGTGCTATTTTTGCTTATTTTGATTTCTTTTTGGTAATATTCACTGATTGTTGGTGTTGTTTGCAATGTGAAAATTATTTTCCTTGTTCCTTTCACAATATTTTACTTTTAAATACAGTTTTAAAGTTTTTATTAAAATTCACATGAATCTGGAGGTGTGCTGCTTTAATGTTACATTTGTATTATATATGACTTTATGAGGATATAATTCAGAATAGCATCATTGCCTGAACATACTTTTACAGACATTATACATATATAATTGAGTTTATATTAGGTTATGACCTGGCAATTAGTTCTAGGAAAAATATGTTTATCTGCTTTACTTTGATTATTTCAGTGTGAAGTGTGTATGTGCTGGCAGCATGCTGCATGTTTTGGTATAACAGAGAGGACTCTACCAAAAACATACATCTGTTTTGTCTGTGAAAACCCACCTGGTTAGTAAAACTTACGTATTACTTTATAAATGTTCTTTAAAAGTAATCATATTAATGTTGTCAGATCATTTTAAGATTTTTATGCACCCCCAAAAAGGGAACAAATATTTGCTGCCTTGTCTGTCTGTCTGTCCATCTGTCACACTCCAAAAACTGTGAATAAAAATTGAAGAAATGACTGGTGAAAGTGCAGTGTGCAAGACCCTTAACTTTAACTTATTCTTTGATATCTAAAATTAATGATGCCTGTCCAAAATGATTCCTAAACTATCAATGATACCTCAGTGAAGAGACAAGTGAGAGGGAGTGCAGTGTCAAAGAACCATAACTCTATGTTTCTTAAGTTTATAATTGATCTTAATCAATAATGCTTGTCTGGAGAATAACTAGAAAAGTACGAAAAGAATTTTATTAACTCATAATACAGTGATAGAGACCATGAAGTGTCCAAGAATCATAATGCTTCTTTGCTTCATTTGTAGCTTGTCTATCCGAGAATAAGGAGAACTATTGTACTCATCCTTGACCTAGGTGTCAGCATCACACTCTTCTAACTTTTGGTATTGTAAGTGGTCACTTTTGTCAACGTCACAGATGCTAAAAATAGATTTCTACACTTCCCGTCAAACATGTTGTTGTTTGTAAAGAAATACTCTTGTATTGGTTAGTGTGTGTTTGCTTTTGTTTACCCTCGTCACCGGAAAGAGACCATATTGGTTTAAGATAGAAAGCTACTTAAATTAGTGGCAGTGTGGTCGAGTGGTTAATGCCTCGGACTAGTAATCTAATGACCGCTAGCCATATGGGTTCAAACCCCATTAGGGGCAAGTCGTTGTTTCCTTGAGCAAGACACTTTACACTCTTTGCTTAGTACTGTTTGGTTCCAGGAACGGATTTGAAAGTGTGTCTTTAAGCTTATAGTTTCCTACACAATCAAACTTAAATAAATTTGATATAAACCAATCAAAAGCTATATCTGTACATCACTAGGTGTTCGAGAAAGTAGCAAGTATATACATGAGCAAGACTGGTTTAAGACAGGGGAGATTCCATCATTTAGTTTTCTACCATTACCACCAATGTCCGAGGAGAGATGCAGCACGGTGAAGTCTACACATACACTAGTGGTGGAGTTACAGCAGCTTAATGCTGTATTACACAGCCTTAAACTCCAGCTCAAAGTCCTCAGGTATAAAATTACTAGTATAAAATAATGTTATCTTTTTATTCAGGAACAGTTCCTTTGTCTTAGAAATAGATATGTCGGAAACTTGGATATAAATGTTATATCTTAAGTATTGATTTTATCAAATTTATGTCTGAAACTTGCAATATGAATTTTTTGTCAAAAACTTAAATATTCAAATATAAATCTTATGTCTGAAACATAGATATTTGAATATAAATCTTAAATATTAAATTTCTTTTGTGAAACTTACAAGATAAATCTTATGTCTGAAGCTTTAAATTTGAAACTTAAAATGTAATTCATTTATTTGAATCATACAATTTAAAGCTTATGTCTGAAGTCTTAGATATAAATGTTATGTTTTAAACTTTAAATGTAAATCTTATGTCTTGGAGTTTAAATTTAAAACTTTGAATATACTAGAAAATTTAATGTCTGAATTAAAGTTATATAAATCATGCCCCTGGTATCAAAATTGGTTCTTGCCCTGAGGGTCACTTAGTTAATATAAACGTACATAGTAAAATACATTTTATTAAGTTTCTTGTCCAAGAGCATAGATATTTGACGTAAAGCATTTTGTAGCAGACATCTACAAATATTTCAAAAATTACTTGTATGCAGGTTGGGTTAAAAAATGGCAAACCCAATGTAACCTCATTAGCAGCTTAAACATTAAAAAATTGTGACCTTTTCTAGCAATGTATCTCGGGTGAGTGATGTGTTTTGACATATTTTTTTCAGAACAAAAGATGAATCAAAGTTGAAGATGTGGAGAGCTGACTGGGATGTATTGGAGTCTGAGACTTTTGAAAGTTTTGCTTTTACAACAGATGATAAGAATGGTTTCATTAAAGATTGTATAAAGGCAGGGGAAACAGCTGTTCCACTGGCTGGTTCCAGTAAAGATTATTCCAAGGAGCCACAGCCTGGTTCCAGTAAAGATTATTCCAAGGAACCACAGCCTGGTTCCATTAAAGATAATTCCAAGGAACCACAGCCTGGTTCCAGTAAAGATTATTCCAAGGAGCCACAGCCTGGTTCCAGTAAAGATTATTCCAAGGAACCACAGCCTGGTTCCAGTAAAGATTATTCCAAGGAGCCACAGCCTGGTTCCAGTAAAGATTTTATAAATATGCCACAGGCTGGTTCCAGTAAAGATTGTATAAAGGAGCAACAGCCTGGTTCCAGTCAAGATGGTATAGAGGTTCCACAGGCTTGTTCCAGTAAAGATGGTATAAATGCAGGGGATACAGCTGTGCCAATTGCTGGTTGCAGTAAAGATTATTCCAAGGAGCCACAGCCTGGTACCAGTAGAGATGGTATTAATGCAGGGGAGACAGCCGTGCCACAGGCTGGTTCCAGTAAAGATTTTATAAATTCAGGGGAGACAGCTGTGCCACAGGCTGGTTCCAGTAAAGATGGTATAAAGGCAGAGGTAGGGGAAACAAGTGTGTCACAGGTTGATTCAAGTAATGGCGATGTGAAGGCAGAAGAGACAGCTGTGTCACAGGCTGGTTCAAGTAAAGAGTGTTTTGAAACAGGGGAGACAACTGTGCCACAGATTGTTTCCAGTAAAAACAGTATGGCTGTAGGGGAGATAACTATGCCACAAAAACAAATTATTAAAATTGAAAATGAAGAAGAAGAAAAAACAGAAATTAAAGCAGAAACTTCTTGTGATACAAATGAAGTTATTGAGACTGTGAAAACTGAAGAGGGTGTTAGTGAAGTTAAAGCTGAAGATAAGGAAGATGAATCTCAAAGTTCTACAACAACTGGAGAGGTATTGAACAATCCTGCAAATCCGGGTACTGAGGAGAAAGAAGTTCTGACTACTGATAATGGGCATAAAGAAATAAAGGATGAAGCACAGTCTATGATGATAGAAAACAATACAGGTTTGGAGCAGGTAGTCATCGTTTTTGTTACCTTAAAAAATATTTATAATTGATAAAACAATTGTCCTGTCTTATTAACACTACAAATTTTATATGTGAAAAATTCTTTAAAAAAAATGTTTATATAAGTATATGATTATAAGTATTATCCATTTTTACCAACTTTGCTATTCTTTCGTCATAGAAGTGTGAGATACTTACCTATGTTGAATTATTATAGGATAATGAACAGTTTCTTTCCCTCCACTCACAAACTGTATTTGTATTATACATGTATAGATTGTGTTGTTATATATCTATAGGAAGTAATAATAAAGGTAGAGGAGACAGGTGAGGAGAATCATTCCGACAGTACAGAGAGTGTAATAGAAGATCCTATAGAAGTGTGTGAGAGGAACCTGCTGAGTCATATACTTAGAGTACAAGCAGAGATCAGTGATAGGTTTGACAAAATACAGGAACAGATTGAAAGTAATTATCATTCTAAAGTTAAATTTGCTTCAACATTATTTATTTAAAGATTGATTGTGAAGTAATCTTGCAGCTTATTTTGAAGTAATTTTAAGTCTGCTTTCTAGAACTGAACAGAACTTGTGTTGTCTGAGAAAATACACTCATGCCCCCTGGTGAACTCAAACCTACAAGCCTGAACCACTAGCCCACTGCTCTCCTCATAATTTGATGTTCTCTAAAAAGAGGAAGGTACATGTATATTGCACAAATTTTGTAAGATAGTAAAAAAGTTTCTTTCTTTCAATTAGATGAATTGATATTGTACAATATCAGTTATCACGGCTATCAATCTAATAAACTGATATTGTATTATTTCAGTACTTAATGTCATGGCTTTAAGTTAGATACTCAGATGTTGTATTAATTCAATGATGTCATGATTATCAGTTAGATAATCTGATGTTGTATTATTTTAGTGTAGTCATGGTTATACTCTGATATTGTATTATTTCAGGTTAGTCATAGCTTTAAGTTAGATAATCAGATGTTGTATTATTTCAGTGTTGGAAGCTATGGAGGCAATGCAGAGTAGGAGAGAGCTACCTACCCCACAGAACATGCTCAATGATATGCCTCAACTTAAACGATCATTGAGAAACACGGAGAATGATCTTTGTAAAGTTAAGAAGATGTCTGTGTTTCATTAATTATATCCTGAATTTAATAAGCCCGTTAATTACTGTATTGTCTCCATTTAATGCCCCCTTGAGCATGCATTTTTAGCTCACCTGTCACAAAGTGACAGGGTGAGCTTTTGTGATCGCTTTTCGTCCGGCGTCCGGCCGTCCGTAAACTTTTACTTTAAATGACATCTCCTCATAAACCACTAAGCCAATTTCATTCAAACTTCACAGGAATGTTCCTTTGGTGGTCACCTTTAAAAATTGTTCAAAGAATTTAATTCCATGCAGAACTCTGGTTGCCATGGCAACCGAAAGAAAAAACTTTAAATGTTTTTTTTTTAAAAAACCCAAAGAGCTAGAGCTTAGATATTTGGCATGAAACATCTTCTAGTGAGTGTCTACAAAGTTTATTCAAATAAAAGCCCTGGGGTCAAAATTGGCCCCGCCCCAGGGGGTCATTGATTTTCCCTATATGCATATAGTAAAAACTTAAAAAATCTTCTTTGAAAAAACCCAAATAGCTAGAGTTTAAATATTAAGCATGAAACATTTTCTAATGAATGTCTACAAAGTTTGTTCAAATAAAAGCCCTGGGGTCAAAATTGGCCCCGCCCCAGGGGGTCATTGATTTTCCCTATATGCATATAGTAAAAACTTAAAAAATCTTCTTTGAAAAAACCCAAATAGCTAGAGTTTAGATATTTGGCATGAAACATCTTCTAGTGAGTGTCTACAAAGTTTGTTCAAATAAAAGCCCTGGGATCAAAACTGGCCCCGCCCCAGGGGGTCATTGATTTTTTTTTCTTATATGCATATAGTAAAAACTTAAAAAATCTTCTTTTAAAGAACTCAAAGAGCTAGAGCTAAGATATTTAGCATGAAACATGTTCTAATGAGTGTATACCAAGTTTGTTCAAATAAAAGCCCTGGGGTCAAAATTGGCCCTGCCCCGGGGGTCATTGATTTTCCTTATATGTGTATAGCAAAAACTTAAAAAATCTTCTTTGAAAAAAACCCAAATAAATGGAGTTTAGATATTAAGCATGAAACATCTTCTAGTAAGTATCTACAAAGTTTGTTCAAATAAAAGTCCTGGGGTCAAAATTGGCCCCGCCCGGGGGTCATTGATTTTCATTATATGTGTATAGCAAAAACTTAAAAATCTTCTTTGAAAAAAACCAAATAGCTAGAGTTTAGATATTAAGCATGAAACATCTTCTAGTAAGTGTCTACAAAGTTTGTTCAAATATATATAGGTGAGCGACCTCAGGGCCATCATGGCCCTCTTGTTTCAAAAGGGGGCGCTAATTAGAACTATAAAAATGTGCTGTAAAATATGTTTACTATAGATACAAGTCAATTATAGAAATCATTATTCATTATTATGATCTGAAAAACAAATTTACAATGCAGGATTTTTTTAATGATTTTACAATACTGGAGTGTCATAAATTGTTGATTTTTTTCTTTAAATAAAAGTATTTGGATTTTTTGGATTGCTCATTCATTATTGATTATAAATCTATCAGGTAAGATTGTTTTTAGTACAAAATATGGTGAGGGTGCACTAATTAGAGGGAGAGGGGTGTTAATTGGAAACAATGTGGTATATGTTAATGTTATACTGGTTAAAGATGTGATTATGAAATGAAACTATTCCAGAAATATATTTTTTTTCCTTTTATCCACTTACTTTGCAGAAGAAGAACATTGATGTACATGCATTGTGTGACAGAGGGCATTGTTTTGTTTTGTGTATATATTAAAAGTTTTGTTTAGGGACCAAATGAAGATAAACAAAAGCATTTTAAAAGTGTTAATTTGTATTTGAATCTCTTTGTTAATCTATTTTTATTGTGCCCCCACGTTAGTGGCGGGCATTTAGATTTACCCTTGTCCGTCCGTCTGTCCGTCCTTCCGTCCTTCCGTTCACTTTTGTGTCAGAGTAATTGCCCTTGACTTAGTAAAATTTTGCAATTTTCAACTTGTGTCGCATGTAACTCAAAAAGTATTTGACCTAGTCATGAAACTTTACAGGAATGTTGATCAGCATGTGTAGTTGTGCACCTGGGTATTTTCGTCTGGATATTTTTAGTATTTTCAGAGTTATTGCCCTTGACTTAGTAAAATTTTGCAATTTTCAACTTGTGTCGCATGTAACTCAAAAAGTATTTGACCTAGACTCATGAAACTTTACAGGAATGTTGATCAGCATGTGTAGTTGTGCACCTGGGTATTTTCGTGTGGATATTTTTAGTATTTTCAGAGTTATTGCCCTTGACTTAGTAAAATTTTGCCATTTTCAACATGTGTTGCACGTAACTCAAAAAATATTTGACCTAGAGTCATGTAACTTTACAGGAATATTGATCAGCATGTGCAGTTGTGCACCAGGTATTTTCGTCTGGATTTATTTAGAATTTTTAGAGTTATTGCCCTTCAATTAGAAACTTTTTGCAATTTTCAACTTGTGTCGCAAGTTACTCAAAAAGGATTTGACATAGTCATTAAACCTTATGGGCAGGTTGCTCAGCATATTTAGATTTGCACCTGGGGTTTCGCTTGTGGATTTATCCAGTATTTGTAGAGTTATTTCCCTTGACTTAGTAAAACGATTGACAGAACAGTGGCGCGGTGGGGGCACCCGTGTCCTATGGACACATTTCTAGTTTACTTTTTTTTGCATTGATTTTTTTTCTGCATTGCTTTGTTTTTGTTGGGGTTTTTTTTAATGTGAAAATATACTTTATAGCATTGTTTTGTGTTTTGGGGGATGTTAATGAAAACTTTATAGCATCTTTTTGTGTTTTTGATGTTAAAGCATACTTTATAAAGCTTTTTTCAGCTTCAGTGCACATTTTGTTAATTGACAAAGCATCAAGTCAAATTGAGAGTTTGTCAGCATAAACTGTGTCAAAGATTGTGTTCTGTACAAGATACAATAATTATTATAATGTATGATGAAATAGTTCCCTATTGATAGGTATTGATTTTAAGAAGTTACTGTACCTTGATAACAACATGAAAAATATTGTTTGTTGATATAATAATATACATGTACAATATAATTAAGTGGTTGTAGAAAAAAAATGTATTGGCCTTAAAAAGAGAAAAAAAATAGATACATAGTATATTATGTACAAATAAGTATAATAAATTTTGTTATAACAGTGTTTTTGTCTTCTTTTATTGATACCACTAATATTTAAAACCAAACAGCTTTGCACCTTGTTGTTCTAATGTATTGGTTTTGAACAGAAGCTTGAAGTTAGACGTCCATTATATTGTAAGTTTTGTAAAAGACTTATTGCCCAATATTTCCTGTGATCGATTAATTGAGAGTTCAGATGCTATAACTTGAAAAAAATATGGACAAAAAATTGCTTCAAAACTTGTGTATGTGCTGAGATGAAACAGGTCCATTTATCTGAAAGACCTCCAGGTTGGAAATGCATGTACTGGTGGCAAGTGGGGAAAAAATCTTAATTTTACTGGTTAAAATTTTAGAACTTCATTTACACTTTGCCTTTTCTTCTGATGTGTATCATTATTAATGTGGGTAAAAGTTTTATTGTAATTACCTGAAACTCGGGATTTTACTCTCCAGTGACCTACCCTTTTCTGGATTATGCTAGATCTATCTTGTTTCTACAGATTATGCATAATCCAGGTACATTTACATAGTATGTAAGTGAGAAATAAGATTTATATCTGCTGTCTTCTTAATTTATAACACATTCTAAGAAACAAAGCATTATTTTATTATAATAGATAAGCAGATTATCAAAGGTAATGCAGATTATCACAAATGTTGCGCATTATCCAAGATAAATCTAGGATTCCCGCCAAAAATAATTTAGTTGTGGTCGCCAAAAATAGTGTTGTGCAACCCATACCAACTTCGGAATACCTTTCATTTGTCGGATGGTGCACCTGTCCGAATTTGTTTTGAAAACATGGCGCTGACACTCACCGAGGACTTGATACGGAATCGTGTCGGCTTGCAGCATGATAATTTAGGTAAAGTATTTATTTTTTATGGCAGTCATTTCACAAATTATTTTGAATATTCATCACCAGATTTTTATTATACGATTATTTGCATTTCATCATGAAAATAATTTTGACAGACGATTTTAGACAGGTTTTTCATGAAAAAAAATCACAAAAAAATGTACCTATTTTTTGGTTGTGCGTGTTGTTGTGTATTATTTTTCAATTAATTTGAGCTTTCGTGTATTCTATTGAATGCATGCATTAGTTAATTTCTTAAATGAATAATCTTTTAGCAAACCTAAAGGACCACCTAAAATTACGTTAGAGATGCAAGTCCAGACTTGTTGACCAATTGTTGGTAAGGAAAGGCTATAATCCTGTGTATTGAGCTTAAATCTGAGATATTCAGTGGCGATAAATAACCATAAATTACTGATGTGCAAATTTATTAAAGCCAAACCTATGAAGTTGAAGCACATATTTATTTGTTATAATAGATTAGCTGGGTTGTCTTCAAACAACTTGATGATCCTTTTACCAAAATAGGTGATAATGAAACTCAATAAATCAATTATTAAATGAAAACATACTGATTTTGGAATTTCAGTACCATAGCACTTGTTTAGAAATTAAATATATTTTCATAAAACTGATTTGAAATTTAAATAGGTAAAGAACCCAAAAGGTTAATTATTAAAGACTTTATTGTAACAAAAAACAGGTTATAAAATGAGAAGTTAAAATTTTCACACAAATAATGCAGTATTAATGAGTATTAGCCAGACCATTAGGTTATATTTGAAAGCTGTGGTTTAACAGTAATGCTGGGTAATCTGCGGACAGAAGTTTGGATCACATTATTTTCAATGTGAGGTATTCCATGCATATGACAGCATGGGAAGTCAATAAGACGTACATGCGGGTGAAAGGGCATTTTTTTATTGCAATTAGATTTCAGTTCATCAAGGAGTTCATAAAAAATGATGGTTGATTTTGACCCCAAAATAAGGCCAAAACAGGTGACAGGTCACGTGCGGTGTTTTTTTGGGTCTGGACTTAGTTTTGGTGGCAACTGACCCTAATATAGTCCTGGCACTATTACAACCTCCTTTGTTTGGCATAATTTAGACAAAAATAAATCTAAAAAGATTAACATTATTTGGCCAGGAAATATTTTTATTTAAAATGGAATTCGAAAGCCTAATTTTTTCAGACATTCATAAAATAATGAAATTCACATTTCTTTGGTTCTAAACTGATGTTTGAATAACTATTGTAAATAATTAACAAATTTGGTACTGTCAGGGCCAGTGTACAAGTTCATTCTAGTATATTTTGAAAACCTTGAGCTGGATTTAAGTGCTCATCATGCACATTCAGTGTTCACCGGGGAAAATTTGATTAAATGTTTGTTTATGGTCATTAAACATGTAACTTCAATTATAACATCAAAGATATTACATTGAAAATAAATTCATCGATGAGTTCCACCTTCTATTGAAAAGGTCATGGGTCATTGGATTCGTGGCAGTTCAACCTATGACAAAGTACAAAACTAGTCATAAAATAAAATAATTAAAAAGCATTGACAAAGAAGCTTCAAACTGTGTATGTAGATGCACCTTGATGAGTTCTACCTCCTGAATCATTTTCAGATTAATTGCACAATTATGGTCCCACAACTGTCATTGTTTTTATTTCAGAGGATGTTAAATCTTTGGCCTTGCCAGGTACATATCATGAAAAAGTTGTTAGCCTTGGTTCATCTCTACGAAAGTTTTCCAGACTGAAACATCTCGATCTTTCTAGAAATAATATATCTAGCCTTCAGGTAGGTAACATGTTTTGATGACCAAGTTTAATTTCATTTCGACTAATATTTAAGGGACCATCAGAGATAAATGAAAAACCATTTGAGTTTGAAACATTTAATCCGGTGAATTAATGGATAGTAATACAGAAAAAATTAAATATAGCATTCTTTAAGTGAAAAAAAGATTGACTGTGATATACTAGTATTTGTCACCATATTGAGTACATTTGTAATTCATTTTAGAACTTCTGTTTTAATCGCTACTTTACTTAAAATTTTGTCTTGATTTTTCAGGGCTTGGAACACTTAAAACTTCTGGAGAAGTTAAATCTGTATCCTTTGAGATTTAAATTAGTCAGTATGTCGCTATATAACCACCTTAAATTATTTTAACCCATGACCAGCTGCATTCTTAAATAAACTTGTCCGGCTTCCATTTTATTTTTGGAATTACCAATTTTTGGTTTGGGGATATCAAGATGAAAGATGGACACCCAACAGTACAGTGAGCCTTGTCAAAGTGCAGACTGTGGATGTGCAAACTGGCTTGGTCCTTACTGCTGGCAAAGACTTAACACATCAGTTTTATCAGTCGGTCTCATCAGGATAAAAGTTAAGGTATACATGTCAAGTAAGAAGTGCTGTATTTCTGGATGTCTTAGCATGGACTCTTATTTCTTTAATGAAGCATTCAGAATGAAATCAATTCTTCCTGATACTGTCCTTTGAGAATCATTTGTAATACTGCTGACTGCAGTATGGATTTATTTGTAGATTAAATATTGAAGAAGGAATTTGTAACTTTTATAATTGGGTACAAATTTAGTCATAGAATTTGGTTTTGGGTTATTGTCATCTTCACATAAAAATGTTGCAATTCCATTTACTTTCATACTTGAATACTTCAATTAGGAAAACAAAAACAAAACAATATTTAAACAATTGCATGTACTTTACTCATAGTCTCACATTTATTTATTCTTATAAAGTGAAACTTATTGTGCAGATTTAGAGTTTTGTCCTTGACTCATAATTCAGGTACTATAATAACATAGAAACATTAGATGAGTTAAAGAAACTAAAATTCAACCCCAATTTGAAGGAGTTAGATCTGCGTTTGAACCCAGTGACTCGCACAGAAACAGATTATAGACTGTATCTAATACACATGCTGCCTAACTTGCAGAAACTTGGTATAGTATTTTAATACAATTAAACTTTTCCATTTCCTAAATACACTTCTTTGGGATATTTTTCTACAGATATGTCTTTTGTACCCCAAGGTTTTACATGCAAAGAGACAAGTTTTCAAGCATTTATCTAATTTTAGGCTTTTTCTATATAAAACCAATAATGCAAAATTAAGGGTTTGCAGTTTTCTGACATCTTGAACTTTTACCTGTGTTACTGTTGTGTTCTACTTGTCACCCTTACTGATAGAGTTCTGAAATTCCACATTACCATAATAAACCAGAGTCTACACTGACCAAATGTCAAAATCTGAATTTGACTTACTTGTCTGTTTTCATCTAAAGCATTTCTTAACTTGTCTGTATGATATTTATATAGTAAATTCTTGAAATTTTTCAATTATCTGTACAGGCTGTGAGACAACTGATTTTGTCATCCTTGAAATGTTAGCATCCTAAGTGAGATTTAAAAAAATAGTTTAGTTAGCCTAGACAATGTTCAAGTTATTACTTTTATTACTGAACACATTTTTACCAGTAAATCATGTTAAGTAAATGTTATTATTTTACTTGTAGATGACCGTAGTGTGCGGGACAGGGAGAGACAAGGTGCTCTTATACATTACAGTTCTAGTCAAGCTACTGAAATGACAAACCACCCAACCAGAGAGGAACCTCCTTCCAGAATCCCTAATCCTAGAGCAGAACATGTTAAAACAATGGGTAGTGGAAGAGGTATTCCAAACTTAAGACATCTTTTAAAATTAAGCCTCCATATTTGCAATTTTCAGCCTTTTTTTTGTTACATGTATGATAAAATAAACCATTTATTACTCAACTAAGTTATAACTAATATATGATATAGGAAAGAGTATCAGAGTAACGGTTTATACAGTCTTATTACATTTATATAGATAGCATAACATCAGATATATACTAAGATAAGTCTCACTGCAAAACAGTGTTGTCAGTTTTTAGTTTCATTCTAATTGTTCAGTATAATAATTTACTAATATATATAAAAAGAGGTCATTTCAATATTATACATCATAGTTTTTCAGTAACTAAGGATATATCAAATATAAATATTATCAATAATCAAATGTTTTTTTGCTTGCTTTATTTTGTAATGTTTAATTTTGTCAAAGTGTTTCCTTGATGCAGTCTATATAAACTGTAGAAGTGTAATTTCAGTATTTAAATTTGTTATTTTGTGAGTTATTTGATTGTATGTATACAGTTTTAGATGATGACGATGTTGAGATACTAGATCTGATAGCTAGAACCGGAGGTGATTTAAGTAAACCACGTCCATTGACCGGGTCTAATGTGAAGGAACCTTCTGTAGAAGATTATTCCATTGTTGGTAAGTGTCTGTATTATCTTAGTCCAGCTAAGTAATTGTACTATGCATTGACATATTGTGCTGTTTTGAGTTTGGGCAATATCTCCCTCTCTAGAAGTGAGATTCTGACCCAGAATAAAATTATCTCAGAAATCTTGCTTTTGGACATCAAAATATTTTGACTATGTATTATTTAAAATTTAATGTATGATAGCCATTCATGAAATATTTTTTAGCTGGATTTGAAAAATATTAAAGTTATAAAGTAAGTTTCATACTAGATGACACCATTCTTTCCCCATAATGTAGAAATTGCCACAATGTAAATGTTTTACAATTTCTAATTTGTATTGTAGTATTTTCTATCTATATTGTATATATCATATATGATTTACACCGACTTTGAATGTGATAAATATTTTCAGGTCTGAAGAAGCTTTCCCGTCAGCCGGATGATTTACCGGAACAACGGGTAAATTTATCCCTTCCGGTTCCTCTGTAGAAATTTATTGTTGCATGGTTTGATAATACTTGTATCGTAATAGTCAGTCATATGTGCTTCTAGAAATCATTAATGTTAATTTGTTTTGCGCTTTGGATGCAGATTACTTTGGATACATACTAATAGTTAAGTAATTGATTTTAAAAGTACACAATAAAATGAATGTCACTTATCATTTGATTGTGTATGTAGAGTGTAATTGTTTGTTTTAATATTTGTATAAAAATAAATGAAAACAATGTTTAATTTTCTTGATAATGATGTGGTAAAGTTTGTGCATGGTTTCCCTTAGGACTGTCAGTTTAGGAGTCCTTTCATTCCTTATTTAAAGTCCTAATGACATCAATGAATATCATTTAGATATAATTATGTCACTGAAAGTTAATGGCTCTGAACTTACAGTTTAAGACCAATTTATAAGATAAAACTACCAACAGTTTCAGCCAAAGAAGAATAAAGTACCAACAGAGATGGATGATGTTATTGCAGCTTACAAGAAAAAGTACCCAAATATACCTGATGTTGAATTGTTCCCACCGTCAGATAATGATGGTCCAGCCAGGAACAGAGATCCTAACCTAGAGTTTGATGATGAGGCAGATGCTTATAATAAATTCAAAAGTCATGGATTCTTTACTCCAAACCCAGAAACAAGTGAGTCACTTTCCACATTTATAACCTATGCTTGTAGTAGTATTGTCAGAGGGATTAATTTCAGTAAGATTCCGGTTAATTAGTATTGAGATTTAAATCTATAGTGGTAAAGAACAAATGTTTAGATGTAAATATTATTAACCACTTGGTTGGGGGTGGCCACATTGTTCAATTGTCTGAGACTCAACAGAGTGATCATTTACTTCTAGCCATACTGAGGTCATGATCATGGTTTGCACTTTTGACTGTTCACTAGTCAGTATATGCTTATTTTGAAATTTCGAACCTTAAAAGGATGAATCCCCTTGTAGCTGAGGGGTTGCCTTTAAGGGTTGAAGCATCGGAACTGCAGCCATTGTTTATTCCTGTGTGATCGTAAGAGGCGACTAAGTGAGTACGAATTATTGGGGTCTGTACATCAGTTAGCTCTAGCAGATGATGTGGTTTTCACCCCTGGTGTTGCTTTAAGTTTGTTACACCCAAGGTCGTCCAAAATCATCTTTCCTCTTTTGGCGACATATGACCTACATTGCGTTGGTGCGGCGTAAAACCAAACAAAATGATGAATGGTTTTGTTGAAAGATGAACAAGTCTTTTTAGAATATTTAATGTGGTAATAGTTGAATAAGCTGTAATCTTATATTGCATTCAAGCTTAAAAAAGTATGTTTAAAATAGCCATTTAATTATGAAATTTAAAAATATAAACCATTTGTTAAATCATTTTGTTTTTTTTGTTTTGGTTATAAACAGCTGAAGATGTTGAAGATAATGGTGCCAGTTTTATTACTGCTGAGAGAGACTCATACCCAGCACCTCCCTCCAGGATACAGCTAGAGAGAACCAGAGGTGCTGACCCTGATGAGGATTTAGATGTGGAGCCAGGACAAAGGCAGTCATATAATAGGAGTAGGGTAAGTTTATTAACTTTATTTACTATGTTACTATTTATAACATAACGTAACATAAATTTTATATAGCATTAAACATATTGTACAATGCTTGTAGCCAACATGAAGAGAAAAATGTTAAAAATGGTATACACAGTTAACATGTAGCATGTTAACATAGTAGCTGTACTAGTAGTAGTACTGTAAGCATGTTTTCCAGAAGAACAAAGATATCTTATTCATACATGAGAGTATAAAGCAAAAGCATTTATAGTATTACTAGAAAGACAGAATATATTAGCAGTGGATTATAGCATTTCTCCTAGAACTTCAAAAATTAATACAGTCCATTATGTTAGATTGACTTTGTGCTAGAATGTAGAAAAATGTTGCTCAGTCATTAAACACATGTAATTTATAGAAACATCTCAGAATTGTGCATACCTGTACATACATGCAAAATAAAATATAATATATTTTAGTTGATTAGATACCAGAATGATGATATGCCAAAAATTTTATCAAAAAGTATTCAATTTAGCTTTTATATTTTCTTACAGAAAGACAGTTATGATCAACCAAGAGCAGAGAAATATGAAGAAAATGAGCTGCCAGTACAAAGAAAGGCTCCTGAAGAACTCTCGGCGAGTACTAAAAATGTGCCTTTAAAATCTGAGAACCCAGAATCAAGATTGTTCCTATTCCAGATACTAGACCTGGTTGATCGATACTGGAACGGATCTAAATCTTTACACAAAAATAATAAATTCAAAGGTATGATAGCTTTTGTACAATGTTTTATTTACAGAAGTTTGAAATTTTATCTATTTACTATGAAAAGCTGTATTCTCAAGTTCAAACAATTTATTCTTATACAGATATATGGTTCCAGGCTGGAGTTTATTGAAAAGTTAAAGCTCTATACTGTTGATAGCTCTATTTTTATGCCACCGCAGCATCTGCGATGCGGTGGCATATAGCGATTCACCTGTGTGTGTGTGTGTGTGTGTGTGTGTGTGTGTGTGTGTTTGTTTGTTTGTTTGTGTGTGTGTGTGTTATATAGATTATATAGTGAACTTAAAAAATCTTCTTGTGAAAAACCACTAGTCCAATTTCAACCAAACTTGGCAGGATTGATCCTTGGGTGAAGGGGTTCCAAAGTTGTTCAAAGAATTTCATTCCATGCAGAAATCTGGTTGCCATGGCAACCAAAAGGAATTAAAAGAATAAATTTAAAAAATCTTCTTGTAAAGACCCAAAAGGCCTAGAGCTTAGATATTTTGCATAAGGCATTGTCTGGTAGACCTCTACCAAGATTGTTCAAATTATAGCCCTGGGGTCAAAATCGGCCCCGCCCCGGGGGTCATTGATTTTCACTATATGTACATATAGTAAAAACTTAAAATACCTTCTTGTAAAGACTGAAAAGGTCTAGAGCTTAGATATTTTGCATAAGGCATTGTCTGGTAGACCTCTACCAAGATTGTTCAAATTATAGCCCTAGGGTCAAAATTGCCCCTGCCCCGGGGGTCATTGATTTTCACTATATGTACATATAGTAAAAACTTAAAATACCTTCTTGTAAAGACTGAAAAGGTCTAGAGCTTAGATATTTTGCATAAGGCATTGTCTGGTAGACCCTTACCAAGATTGTTCAAATTATAGCCCTGGGGTCAAAATCGGCCCCGCCCCGAGTGTCATTGATTTTCACTATATGTACATATAGTAAAAACTTAAAATACCTTCTTGTAAAGACCCAAAAGGCCTAGAGCTTAGATATTTTGCATAAGGCATTGTCTGGTAGACCCTTACCAAGATTGTTCAAATTATAGCCCTGGGGTCAAAATCGGCCCCGCCCGGGGGGTCATTGGTTTTCCTTATATGTATATAGTAAAAACTTATAGTAAAAACTTTTAAAAAATTTCTTCTAGCAATTGACAAATGCTAGAGGTTAGATATTTTGCATGAAACATTGTGAAGTGAACTTCTAGCAAGATTGTTGTTGAATTATAGCCCTGGTGTCAAAATTGCCCCCGCCCCAGGGGTCATTGATTTTAAATATATATATAGTAAAAAATCTTATTGTCTGAAGGTACAAGGCTTAGAGCTTTAATATTTGTTAAATGATATCATCTATAGGAACTCTACCAAAGTTGTTCAAATTTTGCCTCTAGTGTCAAAATTAGCCCCGCCCCGGGGGCCATAGGTTTTCCTTATATGTATAAAGTAAAAACTTAAAAAATCATCTTCTTTAAATTTACAAAGACTAGAGTTAAGATATTTTGCATGAAACATTATGTAGTGAACCTCTAGCAAGATTGTACAAATTATAGCCCTGGGGTCAAAATTGGCCCCACCCCCAGGGGTCATTGATTTTCACTATGTACACATAGTAAAAAAATAAAAAATATTTTTGTCTGAAGGAACAAGGGATAGAGCTTTGATGTTTGCTATATAATATCATCTATAGGTCCTCTACTAAAGTTGTTCAAATTTTTCCCCTGGTGTCAAAATTGGCCCTGCCCGGGGGCAGTGATTCTCATTATGTACACATAGTAAAAACAGAAAATAAAACAAATGTTTTCTGAATGGGAGAAAGCTACAGCTTAGATATTTGACTTGAAATGTTGTTTGGTGGACCTGTATCAAGATTGTTTTGAATTAAACCCTTGGGTCCAAAATTTTGCCTTGCCCAAGGGGACAGTGACCTACTTTCTTGTCCTTTGATGTACAGCAATGAAATTTTGACCATGTGCACAGTTTTAGTTGTAAAATTGAACTTTGATATCAGGTGACCTAGATTTTGATGATGTGACCTACTTTCTTGTCCTTTGATGTACAGCTATGAAATTTGAACCATGTGCACAGATTAAGATGTAAAGTGAACTTTGATTTCAGCTGACCTAGATTTTGACAAAGTGTCTTACTGTGTTGTCCTTTTGATGTAGTCATGAAATTTAGGCTGTGTGAAATATGACCTAGCTTCACCACTAAATTCACTAGACACGAGTGCATTGATATATTCCTACTCTGATCTTTTATTGAGTTAACATTAGATTTAACCACTTATCTGATAATAAGAATAAGATAGGTCAGGGATCTATGCTTTATGACAATCTTCAAAATTGTAAAGAAACAAAAAAAATCTGTTCCTACACTACTATTTAGTGTTGTATTAATGCGGTGGCATAGCATTTTTCTCAAATGCAATCTTGTTTGTGTTATGATATTGAAATAAAAAAAAATTGAATGGAATGTTCCAAATTCAAAGCAGGACAGATCCATGTAGGAAACTCAACCAGTTAAAGTAACATTATGCTTATTTCACAAGTTGAACTGAATGGGTAGATATTAAAAAGATTGACTAATGGTTATTGACTTATAATTGATAATAAAAGGTATTTAGGATAAAATATAACAACTGCCTAAAGTTTTTAAAGAATGCTCCACTCTTTTTATCAATTGAACATAAAACGATACATAAATGATATTTGTAGAATTTTCTTTATGTCATGTAGGTTATTGATATTGTACATAAAGTAGACTATAAAATTTTTGGAAAAAAATATGACAAATCTAAAGTTATTTTGACTTTGACCTGTGCACCCACTATTTACACTTGGATTGACATAATGTGACTTTTAAGCTGCACGCTTCCAGAAGAGCCAAAATATTTCAAGAAAATCAAACTTGAGAAAAATATACTAAGTCTTAAAAAAAGGTAAAAAGATTCTATATTGAAGTAATGATTTACATGTTATGTGTGATTAATGACTGACTGCAGTATTTATCACCATATTTCTTCTGTGTGACTAATGCAATAATTTTTTCATGTGTTTACCTATTTCTGATAATTTACAGGAATAGTAAGTGCCATAAAATGTGCAATGTGTAAAATACTTTCTTTGTTCACTTCACAACATTATACATTGACATTTTCATGAAAGTTAGCATTAATCTGGAGGCATGCTGCTTTAAGGATTAACATTGAAACATTGATATTTCAGCATTAGCATATGGTGCAGTAGATGACTATTTAAGATCACAGGCTGAAGACACAAGCAAACTTGAAGTAAAACAGTTAAAAGATGAACTGGCTGAAATACGTAAAGAAAATAAGCGATTACGACGCAATGAAGACTTGACAAAATCCAGTCTCGAAGATAACATGGCAACTGAAGCACATTTGAAAGCATCGTTACAGAAAGCTTTCACTGATGTTGTAAGTCTGGAATTTAATACTTAGAGATTTTGTTAAATAGATATTTGGTTTAATAAAGTATGAATATGTTAACTTAAAGTATATTGTTTGAGGCAAACAAATACTTTATACTTAACTTAAGGTGAATACTTAACTCATTTATGTTATAATCTTGTATGACCTTTTATGTTCAATTGCCTTGAAACCAAACTCTATCATGCGCTCATTACTTTAACAGATACATGTTCTATTGAAACGCAATATCCATAAAACAGTACTGATGTGTGCATTTTATTAAGAAAGGAGTATAGATCATATTATCCTGAAGCCATGGTCGTGAGTGTAATAAACAATATAACACTAGTGTAACAACACTTTATTAATGTGACATCATTTGTGTTATATACAAACATAGCGTAAAAGCGCGGTAATGTTAGCGTTACACTATAGGTGCGTCAATGAAAAATTACTCTTAACTGAAAACCTTTATTATTTTCCAAAAGCTCGCATAATATGATTTTATTCAATAAATTGAGTATTAAAATTAATACTCATTCAGTTAAACACCTATTTAAAGAATGGTTCAGTAATATCATATGTAATACGTATGCTTATCTGTAGATTGAATTGTAATTTAACTTGTTTATACTTTAACTATTACAGGAGATGTTGAAAGATAAAATTCAGTCATATGCTGCTGAAAATAAAAGATTACAGCAGAAAGTACAGAATCAAGACTCCTATGGTAACACCACAAACTTAAATCAAACACAGCTAGGTAAGACCATGTTTAATTCAACAGTAAATGATATAGGATTATGGAATAGAAAAACTTAAACTTTAGGCAACTGACAGATATAGAATCTACCCCTGCAAGCAGTGCATATCAAGATCAACTAGCACTTCTGTGCTATCTGATCATGGTCTGATATTGACTGATGTTAAGTTAAGGCATATATTGAAACTTACCCTAAAAATGATAAATTGTTTTGTCCAAAATTGAAAAATTTACATATCCATTTTAATATTTAGCATGTCGAGGGTTAATAAATTGTTCTTATCATGATGATAGGTTGTTGACAGTACACTGGCATCAATACATGCATACCTCTTTAGTACAAATGTAGACACACAAAACATTAACAGGTAGAAATTTTGCACACAAGTTATTAGTCATCAAAATTAATGGAACATTAATCTCAAAAAATTATTTCCAGTCCTGTCATGTCTAAAAATCTCACTGGTGTCCCTTTCATAATTGGCTATTAAAATTCAAACAGGAATATACTATAGCATGAATAAGACTATACCAACACTGCAATTTCGCAATACTATTGATTGCAATAAAATAATGGTTATAGTATAATAAATAATAAAGTATTAAAAGATTTTATCATGATTTGTATTTTAGATGAATTACGTAATCAAAATGAAAAGTTAAAAAGGGAGATAGAGAAACAACAATTCCAGGTAAAGCAGTTTAAACAGCTCCAGGAATTGTCCAGTATGCTACAAGAAAGTCACAAGTATGTCAAAGCTTCTTTTCATTTTCTTTTGCATGATATTTTTATATGATAAATATAGTAAGTTCAAGAAAATGGTTTTATTTTAGTTTAATTGTGTAGGAAGGTATATGCTAATAAACACATTGTTGAGTTTGTTGCCGGAACCAACCAGTACTGAGCAAAGATTGTTAAGTTTCTTGCTTTTTGTTATATTGGCCTCTGTGGCTGAGTAGTTAGGGTTGCAGGCTTTGAAACTCTTACTTCTTAACTGTAAGTCCCACCAGTTTGGCTTACAGAAGATTAGTTGGTTTTTACTTGTGAGCCCATTTCTGCATGGAGGGGACATTTACATCCTTGTTGGGATACTGCCATATTTCCTTTACATTGTTGGTGTTACTTAAAGCTCATGTTCTTCTTGTGAGTCCATTTTTGCATGAAGGTGGACCTTCATGCAAGGTGTAACTTAAACTAATAAAGCTTGGAAACCAATATATTTCCTTTACAATTTTGGTGTTACTTAAAGCTTAATCAATTATTTGTATGAGGGTGGATAAAAAAACGTGGACTTTCATTATAATTTAAAAACTACTCAACGAAAATCAATGAGATTTTTGTATAAAGTAAAAACAATTAAATTTTAAAAAAGTAATATGGTTTGAATTGATGTATTTTATTGTGTTTAAAAATTAAGTTTTATTAGTCCTGGGAAAGGTTGTATTAAAAAGTAAAGATTATTTTGGGGGTTTTGGGATAAGGGGGGCATTTTGTGTTTTCCCAGCGCGTTCTTGTGTTTTTAAATGATTTAAGGACGTTTTCAGGGTTTCATAAATTGATCATATAAACAAATTAAAAAAGTTCAATAGAATTTCTTTAAATCAAAAGTTAAGAATGCTGACAACCAAATTATTTTTTTTGCTCAAAATAAAATTCTGCCTATTTATTCTATATTTTAAAAACTCCTGAAAACTATTCCATAAACAATTTTTTTTAACTCTCTTTGAAATGAATTTGCTGATACAAAAAAAAATTTTTTAACTTTTTTTTAAGATCACTTGTAACAGACCAATGAGCACACTGTTTAAAAGGAGATGGATATTCCAAAACGCGCACCGCAATGAGGTTGAAAACAGTTAAATTTTGGAGCTACAACCAGTTTAAAAAAAAATCAAAGATGGGAACCGCTTTACATTCGTTGGGAACCCGTTTAAAATAAAATACAAGGGGACAAAACGCTTCAGAATTTATTGAAAACCAAAATTTGATTTGAAATATTAACAAGATAACTGTTGTTATTGTGGTGTTAAAACACTAACAAACTTCTTGTAAAATAACAATATGGGGCAGCCAGATAAAATTTGTAAAGTGTTCATGCAACTCTGTGCCTTTTTCCTTATTCATGAATTTTCGATTTTTTCGGGGAAAATTTAAGGGTTGCATGAAGAATTGATAAATATTTTACTAATAAACCAGCATGGGAACCCCTGGCTATATTTATAGCATTTCACAGACATTGTAAGAAATTAACATTGTTTTTCACTGTATAAATGGTGCGACTAGTATAAATAGTTCAAAGTGGGGGAAAGGGGGATGGGCATTCCCCACCTGCAGGGTCATAGCTTTTTCCCATAAGTTGTGGCCATGAAACTATGGACTTTTGTCTTTTTGTAAATGTGCTGCCTTATAAATGGGGTGTTATAAAGACTACAGCTGACTGATTTTTATGTCTCAACATCTTAAATGTGTCTGTGATATGTAAATAGACATTTTTAACAGTATAACATGAAAGGTTATTCCTGTTATTGAAATACCATTATTGTCTGTGATAGATAATTTTCATACTAAGTATGTTTGTCACTTGTGGGGACGAAATTTACAGCATTTTTTCCCAAAATTTTTGTGCAAAAATTTAAAAGTATTTAAATTAAAGATAATTGTAAATTGGGCCTTAATTTCACCAAAAGGTTTGTGATAATTTCATTTTTTTTGGGGAATTTTTCTTGTTAAAACCCCTTTTTCCTTAAAAAAAAAGTTTTTTTGAAAATTTTTTCAACCCGGCATCTGTTAAATGGTTAAAAATTTGGCCGTGGGAAAATTTGGGAAATTTTTTGCGAAAAAAAATTGGAAAGGAAAAATCATTAAAAAATTTCCTCTGTTTTTTTTAAAAAATTCCCAACAATTATTGCTGCCCAAAAATTTCGTTTAAAAAAAATTTAAAAGGAAAAAAGGAAAAGTTGGGAAAAATTTTTGGAAATTTTTAATATTTTTGTTTTTTAAAACTTTTCGCCAAAAATTTCCACTTTTTTTTCAGGAAAATTTTTTTTTAAAAAAAATTTTTCTGGTTAAAAGTTTTAAAAATTTTTCCGCACTTTTAATAAGGCAAAAGACCAAAAAAAAACGGGTTTTTTTAGAATTTTTTTTCCCCCGGGCCTTTTTGAAATTTGGAAACCAACATTTTTTAGAAAGATCAAAAATTGTGTAAATTTCTGAGCAAAGAAAGCAGCTATGTTAATGTATAGACTAAGTTATATTATTCAGAAAAAGTGTGCAATTATTATTCACATATATATATTGTTTGTATACTGTTACATGTTAACTGAATATTTTTATTTGGGAGCACATATAGCATTACTTCACATGTCATTTACTATGTATATTGTATTTAAAAGTGTATTTCATACAATTCAAAAATACTAAGAAAAAAAATAAAGTTCTGTATAACAGTAATGAAAGTAAAATTTATTCATACACTTTGCTATTACTTTCCCCCAAAAGTCATTGAAAGTGTTATACAATGTACTAAACTTAGACAGGATAGCAAAAACTATTTATTTCATGCTTTCCAGTGTTTTATTAACCAGGTTTTCAATTTTGAAAATCCTGGTTATTAGATTGGGGTATGGCTGGCTGATGGGCGGGCGGGCGTCAAACGAAATTGTGTCCGCTCTGTAACTCTTCAACCCTTTGAAGAATTTTGATGAAACTTCAGACAAATGTTTACCACATCAAGATGACGTGCAGAACGCATGTTCCGCATGGCTGGCTCCAAGGTCAAGGTCACAGTGACATTAACATTGAAAATCCTGTCCGCTCTGTAACTCTTCAACCCTTTGAAGAATTTTGATGAAACTTCAGACAAATGTTTACCACATCAAGATGACGTGCAGAACGCATGTTCCGCATGGCTGGCTCCAAGGTCAAGGTCACAGTGACATTAACATTGAAAATCCTGTTTACATGATTTTAACTTGATTTGGCAGTCAAAGGTCATATCATCTTTGGAGGTAATTTAAAAAAGATATGATATATTATTTCATGTCTACTTTTGTAACTTGTTTTTCATTATACAGAATTATCAATATAATTATAGTGAACAAATTCTTCTGTGCTGAACTCGTCCTACATTTCTCAAACGGAATTTTGTTCAAACTTTCACAGAAGCTTGTCATCAAGCACCCTGGCACATATTGTCGGGGTTTTGTGATTGGATAGTTTTTGACCTAATTATGGCCCTTTGTTTTTTCCTTATACATAATATTATAGTGAACACTTCTTCAGTGGCAATTCCTCCTACATTATTCATGTTTTTACATTGCACATAGTTACATTGTTTGTTGCTTGTATTTGTATTTCAAATACAACATATTTATCTACAATGGTGATAATTGAAAACCTGGTTTCATGGCATTGCCATGTTTCTTGTTGTAATATATCAGATGATTATATTCTGATAAACCACTAGTGAAATTTATAAAATATAATTTTCACTGTAGCCGGACTATATCTGAATGCGAATGAAAAGAATATCATAACTAAATGGAATAACAGGCAGAAAAAAATGCCGTCATACGTAAATTTTGCTTCTTTAGGAAGAGAAAGTCGATGTCACTATAAATCATGTTAATAAATGTAACAAAGTTAGAGAACTTTAACAGAACTATATTTCAAAATCGATCATGTGACGTCATGATGTGATGACGTCACAAAGGAGAATGCACGACGTTACGCGGCAAAATCAATAAAAAATACTTCAAATCACTTAAAAAACATGAAATAAAAAGAAAATTTATTTGTTTTACATATAAGATTGAAATATATTTCATTCGTGAACACCAGCTATTATATTTTCACTCGTGGCTACGCCACTCATGAAAATATTGCATCTGGTGTTCACTCAGTGAAATTATATTTCAATCTTACATGCAAAACAAACAAATATCCTCTATGTTACTCGAGTTAGACCAGCATAAAACATATGATATTACAAATATGTATGACAAGCTGATGTGTCCTGGTACTGGTACCTTTTTATATGGAGCAATGAATTGTAGTTATAAAGACCACTCTTTGATAATTTTGCATGTCTGTACCCAAAAGCCATTATCTCACATGTATTTCTTTAAAAGCATTAAAAGATTTTTTTTTTCAGAATGTAAATTAAGTTGATACACTAGTGCATTGTTAAATTAATGTGTTCTCAACTGTAACACTGTTATCACTTATTTAAGTCCTATATATGTGATATTTTTGCAGAATCAGAAATGAGCATTTAATTAACTTGTAACTGAAAAATATCCGATTTTGAAATTGGCAATGTTCGGAATTCTGTAAGAAAATCGTTAAGACATGTTATAATTATGTTGTCTATATTTGTATAATAGTTTGTTGAATTTGGGTTTATGTTGTAGAAAATAATGTTTGAAGTTAATAGTATTAACATGATAAGGTTTGGCTATTCTATTGAGATGATAACACAAAACAAAATAATAATGTTTACTTTAATCAGGAAAATGCGGTCAGTGTTATTTTAGTGAATAATAATAAGTTAACAAAATAACAACAACAACTGCTATAGAACCTTGCCATCTGTTGTTAGTTTTGTAATTTATTTTATTGTTTTATATAATGTGTGAATGCATTTACATTAATTCATGAATAATCATAGTTCATGTCCAGCATAAAAAATAAATAAAAAATGAGAAAATATAGATTATTTGTTTTATTTCGAACTTTATTAATGAGTGTTATTTCCTAGAGTAGTACTACATGTACATGTGTTGTAAGAAACATCCAATCTATTTCTATGGCACTTTTCATCCATGGAGCACAGC